TTTGTGGGCTATCGTAATAAGAGCCTTCCAAAGCCTGGTTCCATCAAGAAGCTGTGGAGTACAATATCTATAAGCCCCAGCCGTCATTGTCAGTGGTTGGAAAGGATGGGAACGGCATCCTGAACCTTAAGTTGGGAAAAACCGTTCTGATCTGCCAGCATGTTCCTAAAATGGCCCAAAAAAGGAACGCCCTAGGACAGTGGTTCTCAACCTTCCTAATGCTGTGACCCTTTAATACAGTTCCTTATGTTTTGTTTATGTGATTTATATGATTTGTATTTTATTGATCGTTTATTGATGTTGTGTTTCTTGGGCTTGGCCTCATGTAAGCCGCACCGAGTTCCTCGGGGAGATGGTAGCGGGATACAAATAAAGATGATGATGATGATGATGATGATTATTATTATTATTATGTTTATTATTATGTTGTGGTGACCCCCAACCATAAAATTATTTTCGTTGCTACTTCATAACTGTAATTTTGCTATTGTTTTGAATTGTAATGTAAATACGATTCTTGACAGGAATACTCAAATGGCCAAATGTGAACACTGGAGGAGTTTGGGGGAAATAGACCTTGACATTTGGGAGTTGTAGTTGCTGGGATTTATAGTTCACCTACAATCAAAGAGCATTCTGAAGCCCACCAACGAAAGAATTGGGCCAAACTTCCCACACAGAACCCCCATGACCAACTAAAAATACTGTGTTTTCTGATGGTCTTTGGTGATCAACCTGTGGGTCCTCGTGTGTTTTGGCCTTCAACTCCCAGAAATCCCAACAGCTAGTAAACTGACCTGGGGGTCAGGACCCCTGGGGGGTCGCGAGGAGGTGTCAACCTCCTCGCGACCCCCCAGGGGTCCCGACCCCCAGGTTGAGAAACACTGCCCTAGGATGCTTTCAAAATTATGTACATGTGAGATTTAGGAGTCTGCTGTCCTTGTCGAAACTCCTAGTGGCCAAATAAATTGCTTTGTTGTTCTGTGGTTTGAGCATTGGACTCCGACTCTGGAGACTAGGCTTCGAATCATGACTCAGCCATGGAAACTTGGGTAGGTCACACACTCTCAGCCTCAGAGGCAAACCTACTCTGAACAAATCCTGCCAAGAAAACAGCTTCACTTTTAGAGTTGCCATAATTCAAAAATGATTTGAAGACACACAACTACAACAACATATTTGTTGTCAAGGAGATGAGTGCTTGTGAGGAGAGTCTCAAGTTGTGTGGGTTTTCAGTGCACTTTAACTTGGGTGGGCATGGTTAACTGTAACTGAATGGAGAAGGGGATGTGCCATTTGCAGCTCTGTTTCTCAGCTGGTCTATTCAGGAGGTGGATAGGCACTGAGATTGAGAAGCTGGGTCTGGTGAAGCAAAGGAGAGACTTGGGTGTTACTGTCAAAGTGATGCTGTTGCAGTTTCAACCCTTTGCACTACAGAAGCTCAGATAGGCCCCAATGCTGCTCCTTACTGCCCTCAGGGCACTCTCCATTAGGTGGCTCCACTGGTGGCATTGCTAGCTTTTCAGGTCCATAGAAAGAACCAAATAGACTCCATTGGGACAGGGTCTAGGGCAGGACTTAGGGCTGGCAATGGGAACAAATCCATTCAAGGTGCAGGTTCTTACCTACAAAGCCCTGAACGGTTTGGTACTCGCCTACCTGCATGACCGCATTTCTGTGTACGAACCCACATGATCTCTTCGATCATCTGGAGAGGCGCTGCTCGCGCTCCTACCTCCTTCGCAGGCGCAATTGGTGGGGACGAGGGAGAGGGCCTTCTCGGTGGTGGCCCCCTGACTCTGGAGCTCACTTCCCAAGGACATCAGGCATGCCCCAACTCTGGCAGTCTTTAGGAGGAGCCTGAAAACGTGGCTGTTCCAGTGTGCCTTCCCAGAATAAGGAAAATTCCCAGCAATATGTCCTCAGAATGCACTTTACTACTGGTTTAAGATTGACTGAACTTCCTCATCTCTCCTTTAAAACCCTATACCAGATATATCCTACCTTGTTCATGTCCAGCGTTTATTTTATTAATTTTTAAACTATTACATTTGGCCCGGCCATAGGTTTTTAAATCCTTGTGTGTTACTGTTTATTGGTTATTGTTTATATGTGATTTATATTAATTGTATTGTATTTATTGTTTTTGTTTATTGCTTTTTGTTTTATTGATGTGTCGTTGGGCTTGGCCTCATGTAAGCCGCTCCAAGTCCCTTGGGGAGATGGTGGCGGGGTATAAATAAAGTTGTTGTTGTTGTTGTTGTTGTTATTATTATTATTATTATGTTTCTTCAAAGTTTTTTTTTGTCGTGTCAGGAGCGATTTGAGAAACTGCAAGTGGCTTCTGGTGTGAGAGAATTGGCCGTCTGCAAGGACGTTGCCCAGGGGACGCCTGGATGATTTGATGTTTTTATCATCCTTATGGGAGGCTTCTCTCATGTCCCCGCATGAGGAGCTGGAGCTGATAGAGGGAGCTCATCTGCCTCTCCCCGGATTCGAACCTGCGACCTGTTGGTCTTCAGTCCTGCCGGCACAGGGGTTTAACCCACTGTGCCACCAGGGGCTCCTTTCTTCAAAGTGTGGTATAGTCTTCTTTGGAGGTCAAAAGGGGGCTGGATGGCCAACTGTTAAAAGTGCTTTGATTGTGTGTTCCGTCATGGCAGAAGGGGTTAGACTAGATGGCCCTGATAGGTATACGGGGCAGCTTTTGCCTTCCTTTCATGGAGGAACTAGTATCACTCCAAGTTCTCAAACGCCCTACTGCTGGGTTCTCTTTGCCAGGAATTTATAATGCAGCCTTACGGGTGTGTATGATTACAGTTCCCATCATCCATAGCTATGCTCGTTGGGAAGATTCCCATTAGGACAATGCACCTGGAGGACACCAAGGTTGTTACAGCTGATATAAGAGCTATAAAGTGTGTGAAGAAGGTGGTGCTCTACAGCATTGGTTCTCAACCTGTGGGTCCCCAGTATTTTGGCCTACAACTCCCAGATATCTCAGCTAGTTTACTAGCTGTTGGGATTTCTGGGAGTTGAAGGCCACATCTGGGGACCCACAGGTTGGGAACCTCTGCTCTACAGGATTGTTTTCCTCAGCACTCTTTTGGCCTTTGACTCTGCAGTTTGGATGAGCATTCAAAATCAGTTCCCATGAGCTGAAATAATCAGCGGCCAACCTCTGGAATCGAAATGGAGCCAGAGTGAGAAAGTTGAGTCTTCTTGGTTAGATGAAACTCTAGATTAGGGACAGGAAGCATGTGTACACCCAGTGTTGGGCTGCAGATCTAGCAGTCACAGTCAGTATAACCCAGGGGTCCTCAAACTTTTTAAACAGAGGGCCAGGTCACAGTTGGAGGGCTGGATTATAATTTGAAAAAAACATGAATTCCTATGCACACTGCACATATCTTATTTGTAGTACAAAAAAACCCCACTTTAAAACAATCCAATAATTAAAATGAAGAACAAGTTTAACAAATATAAACTTACTAGCTGTCCCCTGCCACGTGTTGCTGTGGCCCAGTGTGTTGATCTGGAAAATAAAGTAATGAGAAAATGTTGGTTTCAAATATATGTAATGTCTTTCTGCTTGTGGATAAACAGTATTTCTTGCTGTTTCTTTATCAGTGTTGATGTGGAGAGTGTCTGGTTTGCCCACCCTGGAACATGGAAGATATCATTGTCCTTCTTTAAGGGTCCCTTTCAAATCTATGATACCATATCTCTGTGTGAATCATATCTATCTATCTATCTGTATGGCTGGATGGCTCTTTGTCAGGAGGACTTTGATTATGTTTTCTTGCCCCGGTGAAGGGAGTTGGATTGGATGGCCTTAAGTATTTTCTGTTGATTATGGGGGTTCTCTGTGGGAAGTTTGCCCCGATTCTGTCATTTGTGGGGTTCAGAATGCTCTTTGATTGTAGGTGAACTGTGAATCATAGTGACTACAACTCCTAAATGTCAAGGTCTATTTCCCCAAAACTCCATCTGTGTTCATATTTGGGTGTATTGTGTGCTTGTGCCAAGTTTGGTCCAGATCCATTATTGTTTGAGTCCACAGTGCTCTCTGGATGTAGGTGAACTACAACTCCCAAACTCAAGGTCAATGTCCACCAAACCCTTCCAGTATTTTCTGTTGGTCATGGGAGTTCTCTGTGCCAAGTTTGGTTCAATTCCATCATTGATGGAGTTCAGAATGCTCTTTGATTGTGGGTGAACTATAAATCCCAGCAACTACAACTCTCAAATGACAAAATCATAGTTTTTTGAGTGATGGTCACTCCTTGTGTTGTGAGACATTTTGTTGCCAAATTTGGTGTGATTTCGTTCATGGGTTCTTTTGTTTTTAAGGTACTCATTATGCACAGAGCATTTTTATATATATAGAAGAAGATTAGTATTTCAATGGGAAGTGTGGGCCTGCTTTTGGCTGATGAGATAGGATTGTTGATGTTTTTGTGTGCTTTCAAGTCATTTCAGACTTAGGTTGACCCTGAGTGAGGGCTGGGTAAATGACCTTGGAGGGCCATATCTGGCCCCCGGGCCTTAGTTTGAAGACCCCTGGTATAACCCATGGTGAGGAAGGATGGAAGTTGCTATGTTAAAGAATGGTGAGTTGGGGAAAACACATTTTCCACCTCTGGTAAACAGAAATCAGTTATCCAGAGGAACAGTGAGTTTCCCCTTCTTTTTTTGACCTTAAGTGGATTTATTTCCCCCTTAGCCCCCAGTGAGCACTCTTAGATTGGCAACCCACCCAGCGACCTTTCTTGGTACATTAACTTTCTTTGCTGCGCTGAGTATTTCGGCTCGCTCCTGCCTTTTTATTTCTGCTGGCGGCATTGTGTACCCTGTGTTACGTTCAGGAAAGATCTCTTCTGCTTTGATTCATGCCCTCTGCTGATGACTCACCTGCCTGGATCTGCACAAACACACACACACAATCTCACCTGGCATGCACACACTTTTCTGACTCTTCTCTTGTCTCTCTGTGACAGTAACCAAGTGAGGCCTTCCATCTGGGACTTCCCGATGGCCCTTGGACCCAAGTAATTGCCCTTGGAAGCAGGATCCCAACCCGCCTTTCCCAGACATGGAGGTGAAAGGGCAACTGATCAACTCATCCAGCTACAGTTCTTCAGGTAACTTCCTGTCTGCCAGCCAAAACCAGTTCAAGGGATGGGAAAGCAAGGCAGCTGCCTTGGGTGGAAGACGCCGAGTGGCATGGAACGTACAGCCTTGCTCATGCCACGTAGCTTCTCACTTAACCTATGGCATTCATAATAAAGGATGTTGCCTAATCACCACAGCTGAAATAAAAATTCAGCCACCAACCCTGGAGATAGAGTTGCCAGGTGGAGAATTACACTGGTTGCCCTTTGCTTTAGGCAGCAGAATGGTTTGGACTGCTCTTGTCTTCCTCATATCCTCCTACAGCCAGCTGTCCACCTTCTCTGCCATTAGGGGCACAGGACCCATGTGGAAGTGAAAAAGAAATGACTTTTTTTGGGGGGGGGGGGGGGAAAGTGAGATAACACTTTTTTAATTTTATTTTTATTTTATTTAAGTAAACATACATTTGCAAGTGTTTGTTGCATATATTGCAATACTTTCTATCTATTAATGTTCTATAATCCTTTATCTCATAATATATTTCTATTAAGGGGTCACAGTCTACTATCTAAATATTACATAAAAAGATATCATAGATTCTTACTTTACATCCACTTCTTCCTTGTCTACAGTCTTATAGGATCCTCTATATACATTTTTAATTTAACTTTACATTAAGGTGTTGAATCATTGGTTGCCATTCATTAAGGAAGTTGTCTAGTATTTCTCCTCTTAATAATACAGTTATTTTGTCCATTATCAACATATCTATAATATATTTTTCCCATTCTTCTAAAGGAGGTATATCTGGGGTTTTCCAATATAACACTTTTAAAACAATGTCTAGATCAGGGGTCCTCAAACTTTTTAAACGGAGGGCCAGGTCACAGTCCCTGAAACTGTTGGAGGTCCAGGTTATAATTTGAAAAAAAAAATGAATGAATTCCTATGCACACTGCACATATCTTATTTGTAGTGCAAAAACCACTTAAAACAATAAAATAATTAAAATGAAGAACAGTTTTAACAAATATAAAGTTATTCGTATTTCAATGGGAAGTCTGGGCCTGCCTTTGGCTGATGAGATAGGATTGTTGTTGTTGTTGTTGTTGTTTGTTTTCAAGTCATTTCAGACTTAGGTTCACCCTGAGCGAGGGCCGGGTAAATGACCTTGGAGGGCCATAACCGGCCCGCGGGCCTTAGTTTGAGGATCCCTGGTCTAGATCTTCCAGCATTACTCCGTGGTCACCTTTCCTTGGCCTGGCATAGAACAGAGCTAGAACAGAGCTTTCCAAACATTTCATATTGATGACACACTTTTTAGACAGGTGTCATTTCACGACACAGTGATTCGGTTTTACTAGCAAACCGGAGGTTAAACCAACCCCTTATAAAAGATACAGGCACGTGCATCAATTGTAATAGCGACATGTATGGGGACACAACATACCTCATGAAACATATATTTTAAAATATATGATTTGTAGAATAATAGCCTCCAGCAAAGGATCACCGCCGTGTCGTGGTGCAGGAGCCTGAGCACCTCAATGATGCCATGAGCGAAACTGTGAAGGGCCACCCAAGACGGGACGGTCGTGGCAGAGAGGTCAGACCAAGCGTGATCCCTGGGGAAGGCAATGGCAGACTTTGTATTTCTAGGTGCAAAGATTACTGCAGATGCAGACTGTGGCCAGGAAATCAGAAGACGCTTACTTCTTGGGAGGAGAGCAATGTCCAGTCTCAATAAAATCATAAAGAGTAGAGACATCACACTGGCAACAAAGATCCGCCTAGTCAAAGCCATGGTATTCCCTGTAGTAACCTACGGATGTGAGAGCTGGACCTTAGGGAAGGCTGAGCGAAGGAAGATCGATGCTTTTGAGCTGTGGTGTTGGAGGAAAGTGCTGAGAGTGCCTTGGACTGCGCGAAGATCCAACCAGTCCATCCTCCAGGAAATAAAGCCCGACTGCTCACTGGAGGGAAGGATACTAGAGACAAAGTTGAAGTACTTTGGCCACATCATGAGGAGACAGCAAAGCCTAGAGAAGACAATTATGCTAGGGAAAGTGGAAGGTAAAAGGAAGAGGGGCCGACCAAGGGCAAGATGGATGGATGGCATCCTTGAAGTGACTGGACTGACCTTGAAGGAGCTGGGGGTGGTGACGGCCGACAGGGAGCTCTGGCGTGGGCTGGTCCATGAGGTCACGAAGAGTCGGAGACGACTGAACGAATGAACAACAACAGAATAATAGCAAACATTTGCAAGATTTTTGTCATTTTCCGTTATGCTTGCACAACACACCTACACATTGCAGCCAACGCACAGTTTGTTGTGACACACAGCAAAAGTCAAAATGACAAATGTGGATGGAGGGACAGCTGTATTTTTCTTCTCACCTGACTAGCATTTTCCACCCTTCTCATACCTCTCTGTTCGATATTTATTTACTATATTTGTATACTGCTTTTCTCAGCCCTCGGGTAAAAAGAATACTTTTTCTCAGGAATCCCCTGATTGGTCATCTTCTGCTCTGTTTTCTTGTCTCCCCCCACAGAGGCCTTACAGCGGGATTTCTGTCCCCGAATTCGGCTAGAGCGGGTGCAAGAACTCCTGGAGAAGCAGCGGGCCCTTCAGCAGGTGCTCAGCCTTCGTCTAAAGGAGTTGCGCCGGGTTTGCCTCCAGGAAGCTGTGAGTAATCATTGGAAAAGGGGGCTAGAAGGAGCTGGGTGAGACCAGAACGGCAGCTGGGGTGGGCCCATGGAGTAGAGCTACTGCTACTTTATCTCTGCGTAAGCCAGGGAGATGGGAAGTGTGGCTCTCCTGATGCTACAGCTCCCATCAGCTCTTGCAAGCACTGCCACTTCCCAAGAGATGTTGGAATAGTAGTTCAACATTATGATCATCAGAATGAATGAGCCCCTGGTGGCGCAGTGGGTTAAACCCTTGTGCCCGCAGGTTTGCTGACCAAAAGGTCGGTGGTTTGAATCTGGTGAGCGGGGTGAGTTCCCATCTGTCAGCTCCAGCTTCCCATGTGGGGACATGAGAAAAGCCTCCCACGGGATGATAAAATATCTGAGCATCGCCTGGGCAACGTCCTTGCAGACAGCCAGTTCTCTCACACCGGAAGCAACTTGCAGTTTCTCAAGTCACTCCTGACACACACACACAAAAAAAAACCAGAATAAACATAGGTACTAAGGAACTGTCAATTGTAAGAGTAACTTGCACTAGCAGTTACAATGAGATCAGCAGAGTATAATTCTTTAAAAGAAAAACTAAATTTTCATGAATACAACAAAGGAATTGAAAAAGACAAAAATATATAGAAATATAGTACCATCTCCTCCCCCAAATCCTTTCATCTAAATCAAACAGACAAACTGTCTTCTCATTCTAGTCCAGTATTCAGTCATTACTGAATTGTGGATTTTTGGCATTCTGTTATGAACCAAGTAATCCTTGCATTTGAAATCTATCCACAGTACAAACCAAACTTTAAAACCTGATCAGCTTTAAGATCCCTTCTACACTGCCATATAATCCAGATTATCAAAGCAGATAGCCAACATTATCTGCTTTGAATTGGATTATATGAGTCTACACTGCCATATAATCGAGTTCAAAGCATCTAATCTGGATTTTATATGGCAGTGGAGAAGAGGCCTAGGTGATGAAATTCAGCTTTTCTCTTTGCTTCCGACTCTTCAGTTGCTTCCGACTCTTCGTGACCTCATGAACCAGCCCATGCCAGAGTTCCCTGTTGGCCGTCACCACCCCCAGCTTTTCTCTAAGTGTATAAATTAATTTTGAGCATAGATGGTATAAACTCCCCCCTCCCCATTTCTTTTACCTGCATAGTTTAACTCTGGGCTCTTCTCTTTGACCACACTGAAGAACTGCTCTTTTTTTTCTTTGCCAGGAACTGACGGGAAAGTTGCCTCCGGAGTATCCACTAGAACCAGGTGAAAGGCTCCAGCCTGTGCGGAGGAGGCCAGGCCTTGCCTACCGGGTCCCCAATGCCCTGAAGAATGAAGTGAGTTGCAGGCTGTCTGTATGTGTGAGCACATAGGAGAACCCACTGCTCATTTCCGCTTTTGGACTGTCTGTATGCTACTAGGCCTGCTCTAAATAAGGCAGCACTTGCCAGACTATGTTTCATAAAAATCTAGGATTCTGAAAAAAACATTGTAGGGTTTAGCGAAAAATCTTTTTAAAATCTCCTTTTAAAGTCTGTGCCAGGGTACGATGCTCTTACTGAAATTCAATGTGCCTCTGCTTTCAAAATGACATTTGAATCCATGCTTCTGAATGGCTTTTGGGTAGGACTAATTGACGTATACCTGTATTTTTATGAAACCTAGTCTGGCAAGTGCTGCCTTATTTAGAACAGCTATCCAAGCAATGCTCCCCTTTGTGTCCACCTATTGATGCAAATCAGGTTTTTCAGATTACACTTACACCAAAAAGTAATATAGGAGTAAATTCGATGCTGCCACAAATCTTCACATTCAGTTGTTGGGCAATTGCAAAACGATTTAAAGTATTTATTTATTTATTTACAGTATTTATATTCCGCCTTTCTCACCTCGAAGGGGACTCAGGGTGGATCATAGAACATACATATTTGGAAAACATTCAGTGTCGTTTTATACACAAACAAGACAGAAAATTATACATAGATAGAGGTGTATATGTCGGCTTTTCCCATCTTCGGCATCTCGGTTCTGGCCACAGGGGTGTTCTGTCGCTCCATCTCCCTGCTGAAGAGCTTTAGTTCAGAAACTCATTTATTTATTTATTTATTTACAGTATTTATATTCCGCCCTTCTCACCCTGCAGGGGACTCAGGGCGGATTACAATGTACACATACATGGCAAACATTCAATGCCAAAGACACACAGCAGATATGGACAGACAGTGAGAAGCTATTTAACTTTTCTGGCCACCAGGGGAGCCGTCACTTTCATCGTCCATCTGCAACACTGATGAAGCACTTCGCATTCCCTGCATGCTTTTGCTGGAGTGCTTTCCTGGAGTCTTTTTTATGGCCTTGTAAATTAGTTAAATTAGCCTCCCCACACATAGGTAGTACCTAATTTTCCTACTTGACAGATGCAACTGTCTTTCGGGTTGCAAAGGTCGACAACAAGCTACACAATTGGTCGGAAGCTCACTCTGACCCGGGCTGGCTTTGAACTCATGACCTTTTGGTCAGAAGTGATCTTAATGCAGCTGACACTCAGACAGCTGCTCTTCCTTTGATCGAACTGCCAGCTTTCCTTATGGGTACCTCAGAATACCTCCCCACTTTTTATAAGCGGTAATTATTTATCTACTCACATTTGCTTTCGAACCACTAAGTAGGTGGAAGCTAGGCTAAAGGCCAGGAGCTTACCCTGACCCGGGCTTTGAACTGGCAGCCTTTTGACTGACAGGATTTACTGCAGCTGGTGGTTTAACCTGCTGTGCTAAGCCTGGCCCTCAAACAAATGAAAAAATTTATTTCTCATATTAGGAGTGAATCCAATATTTTCCTATATAAAATAAAGTTTTGTGGCTGTATCCAACATTTTCTTGTATTTTCTCTTTATTTCCAAGTGTGCTACATTATACAAAGAAACTCAGGCAATAGGAGCAGTTAAAAGAAAGAAGAACTTAGTGTGCTCACAATGCTTCATAAAATTCAGAGATAGAGCTAGGGTTCCCCTGGAAAAAGGGTCTTCTGAAGGGTTCCATAACCTAAAAGGTTTGAGAGTCGCTGCTCTTAAATGCCAGGAAAGAACCCCTTTCTCTTGCCAGTATTAAAGTAAAATTCAAGAGCAGATCCTGTTGGCTACTGTATATGGAGTGAGAAAGGGTCATGATCCTAAGGCACCTTCTCCTGTCCTCTAGGAAGCACCTTCGCTGGAGGAGCTGACCCGAGAGCTGGCTCTGCAGCAACAAGTGGCCGAAGCAGCCCGACGCCTCGCTGTTGCCCCTGAGTTAACAGCCGACCAGCGTCGCCGCCGGAGGCAGGTCCAGGCCGATGCTGCCCAGCGCCTTCGGGAGATCGAGGCTCAGGTGGCAGAGTGCCGGATGCGGCTAGGCAAAGGGCCGCTTCAGAGGATCAGCCACGGTGAGTTAGGGGGGCAGACCTCCTTTTAATTTTTTCCTTCCTCCTTGATTTATCTTCTGAGTTGTTTTCAACAACCCCACTCCCTTTTTCTCCAAACACCAATTTGCTCCTTGCACTCTTTCCCTATTTCTTTGGATGTTTCATGCATGATACTAGAAAATGTATTGTCGAAGGCTTTCATGGCTGGAATCACTAGGTTCTTGTGGGTTTTTTCGGGCTATAGGGCCATGTTCTAGAGGCATTTCTCCTGACGTTTCGCCTGCATCTATGGCAAGCATCTGATGCAGGTGACTACCTCTGAGGATGCTTGCCATAGATGCAGGCGAAACGTCAGGAGAAATGCCTCTAGAACATGGCCCTATAGCCCAAAAAAACCCACAAGAACTTAATGATACTAGAAAGTTTGTTAGCCCCAGAGATGAGATACAGCAAATGGAAGGTCATCCCTTGAAGAACTGTAGGAAGAGTGGGGTCCCTCTTCCATCCCTTGATTTATTTATTTCTTTATTTAAAACTTTTATATCCCGATCTTCTCACCTCTGTAGAGGGACTCAGACCAGCTTACAGCAAGGATTCAATGCTACTAATACAAGTTAAAACATCATACAACAATACAAGATTAAAATACATATAGATAAAATACATATATACCAAATTGCCAAGGTAAAATCATGTTCAACTCAGTCCGCATATGTGGTCACTCACTTTGGTCTGTAATCAGTCTCAGCCATTATTCTGGGAATGCTTCGTTCCATAACCAGGATTTCACTAGCCCCCTGAAGGATGAGAGGGAGGGGGCAGATCTAATCTCGCTCGGGAGAGAGTTCCATAGCCGAGGGGCCACCACAGAGAAGGCCCTGTCTCTCGTTCTCACCAAACGCACTTGCTTGTTTGGTGGGATGGTTCATAGGGGAGAATATGTCCTTGATGGTTCATAGGGGAGAATACATTCGGACAGGTAAAGTGGGCCGGAACCGTATAGGGATTTATAGGTTAAAACCAGTACTTTAAATTGTGCTCGGAAGCTAATTGGCAGCCAGTGGAGCTGGTGCGGCAAGGGAGTTGTGCGCTCCCTGTACCCAGCTCCCATCAGTAGCCTGGCTGCCGAGCGCTGGACTAAATGCAGCTTCCGGGCAGTCTTCAGAGGCAACCCCATGTAGAGAGCGTTGCAGTAATCTATACAGGATGTAACTACCGTGGCCAAGTCAGACTTCCCAAGGTGGAACAGAGGGCACTACCTTTCAAGGAGGAGGCTGCATCAGAGAATAGGGAGGCCCTGTGATCCTAAAGTATACCAGTGACAAGGTGTTGACATTGGTGATTGCTGTGAATCTTTTCCTTCTGTCGGAACTGTAAAGCTTGGAGCGTTTACTCAGTCCCTGTTGCACCTCAGAATAGATTCACCTTGCTGAAATCACCAGAACTGCACACAGACTGAAGTCTTTGTAGTTTAATAAAAAATAAAAGATAAAAAGTTTAAAAAGCAAGTAATGTTCCAAAGATCAATAAAACATAACACTATAAAGCAGAATTCCAAGTGGCACCAACAAAACAAAGTCCCATGAAAATATGACAAAATCCCAAGACCATGGACACAGGAAAACGAGCACAAGCTGCTTGGTTGAGCAAGATGTTGCTCTGACAAAGGTTTGTTTTCAAACACACTGCTTAATACCCTTTGCAATACATGAAAGCATTTCTTTGGGCTCTGGCCTCCTTCTTGTTGGCTATTCTCACACTCCTTCGAACTCTGAATTCCAAACCGTCAGCCCGATCTAAGATTCCCGTTTTATCAAGGTCAGGCTGCTTGTTGGTGTCAGCCTGGTTGCCTTCCTTCCTACTATCAGGCTGAGAACTGTCCTCCTTCTCTGAGTCAATTTGCACCTGACTAGTTTCAGTATCAAAAACATCATTCCCTGCTGTGGGAAACTGAATTTGCACACCCTGTTCCTCATTGTCTACAACAGGAACATTTTGAACCTGATTGTGAACCTGAATCCCATCATCCTCGTCAGAGTCACTCTGAGACCCCATCTGAGTCACAACACTATCAGTCTGTGTCTGTGGTTCCAGCTGAGTCACAACAGTCCCAACTGATACTGCAGTTCCTGGAATCACCCACGCAAAACGAACCAAATTGGGCGAGTGGGCTTATTGACAAAATACCCTCTTTATAGGCCTTATAGGTAACAACCAGCACTTCGTATTTAGCTTGGAAGCGGGCTGGCAGCCAGTGGAGCTACCGCAACATGGGAGTGGTTCTTTCCCTGTATGGAGCCTAGCAACCTGGCTGCCAATCTCTGAACTAATTGTAGCTTCTGAACTATCTTCAAAGGCAACCCCACGCAGAGAGCATTGCAGTAGTCCAAGCAGGATGTGACTAAGGCTGTGATGGTCCCCTATGAACCATCAAGGTTGTTAAGATCTTCTGGAGGGGCCCTGCTCTCGGTCCCACCATCTTTGCAATCGCGTCTGGTGGGGACGAGGGACAGGGCCTTCTTGGTGGTGGCCCCTCGGCTCTGGAACTCTCTCCCATTGGAGATTAGAACTGCCCCTTCCCTCCTGACCTTTAGAAAGTTGGTGAAAACCTGGCTTTGGAATCTGGCATTTGATGAGTGAGGCAATGGCTTTTGACCACATGGACGGATGGGGATGAATAGAGATTTTTATGTTAATGACTGTACTTTATATAATTATATGATAGTACTTTAATGTGTTTATATTAGTGTATTATTGATATGGTGTTTTTAAATCATTGTGTATGAACCCCTTGTTGTAAACCGGCCTGAGTCCCTCGTTGGGAGGTGAGAAGACTGGTATATAAAAGTTCTAAATAAATAAATAAGGCATAGACTACTATGACCAAGTCCGGCGTCTCAAGGTACCTTGACACGCAGAGTAACTTATTAGCAGCAGTGTGACCCAGTATCAGTAGCCCAAAGTGATAAAAAGAACGAAAACACACAGAACAATGTTATCCCTTCCACAGGAGGCTTTTCTTTGTAGTAAAATAATTTACAAGAACTAGGTTTCCATAACACAAATAAACAAATACATAGTAGTTTTACACACACAGCAGCCTTCACACTGCAGCTTTCTGACACGAGGCTTCTCTCACACAGAGGTTTACCTTACACTCCTCAGGATGACAATAGCTTTGGCTCACTGACTTTCTGACACGAAGGCTTCTCTCACACAGAGGTTTACCTTACACTCCTCAGGATGACAATAGCTTTGGCTCACTGACTCTAACAGGCTTCGGCCTACTAACTCTTTCAGTGCTTGACTCACACTTTGGTAATCAAAAATACCCAGTTAATATTTAATATTTCTGACAAACCACACTCTACCGGCTGGGGAATTGAAGCCTGTTTTGGATATAATAGTGTTGAATAGCAACTTTTCCAGTCTCTGGGTGCTAACAGTTATTTGCTCAAAACACACTGGGTAGATGGCACAATACCCTACCCCCTTTCCTTTTGGTGCATTATGTAGCTAATCCTCCCATCCTGGCTTCTGATCCATCCCCCTTTTATCCATTGTTTCTCTGTCCCCAAAATAGAAGAGGCTTTTCATTCCGAGAGCAGCTCCCTCTCAGAATCGGCCAGCCATGAAAATGGTAAGTCTGTTCTACACAACCCCTGGATCTCCTACCTAGATCAAGGAGGGGAAAATAGTGATGATGGATATAAACTGAGTGCTGTGTTTGTGTGCTTTAATGTCATGTTATTGTTATTATTATTATTATTATTATTATTATCAATATATTATGACCCTCAGATGAGTCTATCGTATTTTTTCTGGGCAAGGCACATCTGTGCTGTTGACGGGAGCGAGAACAGGGCCTCCCTGGATGATCTTAGATCACAAGGTGGGACGTAGGGGTAGGGACGTAGGTGGGAGGTAAATTATGTGTTTAATGCAGATCTGGGGAAAGTGTGGCTCTTCAGAAGGTTCAACTGTAGTTATTGACACAAGTTTAAATCAGCTAGGGCTGATGGGAATTGAATTCCAGTAACGTCTGAAAGACCACACGTTTCATACCCATGATCTCAATGGAAGGAATGAGTCTCAAGGTTTCAAGACTATGGGGCTACCCATTTTTATTCTGTGTTTTTTTGTTTTTTTGCCGAGGTAGGGGTTTGTGGATGCTTCTATCCTGTCCATTGTGCTCTGTCCTCAGATGACCCCCACAGCTTCCATTCTGCAAAGGTCTCCAATCACCAGGGGCCTTTCCCTGACCGCCCTTCACCCCCCAAGGCCCGAGATCACCTCCGCGCCATCTCCAGCAGCCCCGACCGGCGACCGGGATGGCGGCTTTTTCAGCCGGATCTGTACAGCGAGGCTAAAGACCGTCGGAACTCGGTTGCCAGCCCGACAAGGTGAGCAGAGAGAGGTTGGGCTGGAGGTGGCAGGTGGGGAGAGAGCCCGAAGGACCTTGCCTTTTGGGATTGTCTCGTTCTGGTTAGTAGTGAACATAGCAAGGGAGTTAATATTTGACATCTTAAACCTGTTAAAGGTATAGGCCTTTTTTTTTTTTTTACAACTCATGCAGTAAAATGCCTTGCTTATGCTCAAACATATGCATAAAAAACTATGAGAAAGTGGATTAGATAAGAACAACCTACCTCAGAAATTACCTTTTGTCTATTAAACCCTTTTTCATTTTTTTTTTAAACTGAAAGCATTGTACCGGAAGAAATTTTACTGTTTTTGAGGCCAGAAGAATGGACTATTATTGAACCAAGAAGTAAATTCTTCTTTACTTCCTGGTTTATCAAAGACCTCTTTGTGCCTGAAAACAGCTGGGAAGGGGAAGACATGGTCAAATTGCCCTTTTAATAATAATAATAATAAACTTTATTTATACCCTGCCACCATCTCCCCAATGGGGACTCGGGGCGGCTTACATGAGGCCAAGCCCAAACAACAACAACAACAACAACAACAACAACAATAATAAACCTTTATTTATACCCCGCTACCATCTCCCGGAGGACTCGGTGCGGCTTACAAGAGGCCGAGTCCAATACATCAATAAAAACAACACAGCAATACAGACAATAAATAACTCATAAACAAAGCAATAAACAAAACAGTAACAAGTTACAGCAAAATAAAACCGGAAATGCAAACCAAAAATGCAGACAATAAACAACAACATCATAATTACATAAAACATGTGAATACATAACGATATAGAATTACAATAAACACAATCACAATGACAATGGGCAGGCCACATGTAGTGATTAAAAGAGAGACTAATTAAATACTAATTAAAAACTTGGGTGAGATAAAGGAGAAGCAGGTTATTTGCAGAGGAGAGCTCATTATAGCAGGGGTTGTGGAATCAAACTTTCCCACAAGAGGAAAGTGGTGAAGTGGGATAAACCCTTGTGCTGGCAGGACTGCTGACCAATAGGTTAGTGGTTCGAATCCTGAGAGAGCGGGTTGAGCTCCCTCTGTCAGCTCCAACTCCCCATGCAGGGATGTGAGAGAAGCCTCCCACAAGGATGGTAAAACATTAAACATCCGGGCGTCCCCTGGGCAATGTCCTTGCAGACGGCCAATTCTCTCACACCAGAAGTTACTTGCAGTTTCTCAAGTCACTCCTGACATGAAAAAAAGGAAGGAGTGGGAATCATGCAATCCACACACTGCAACTGGTTTCCCACGGCCTGTCATTGTTCCGGCCTGACTTCGATCTTCTGGAGAGGCTCTTCTCTCGCTCCCGCCTGCATCACAAGTGCGACTTGTGGGGACGAGAGAGAGGGCCTTCTCTGTGGTGACCCCCCGGCTCTGGAATTCACTCCCCAGAGATATTAGGCACACCCCCACACTGGCAATCTTCAGGAGGTTATTCCAATGTGCCTTTAATGATTGAATGTAAGATACTCCCTGACCAAATTTTTCACAAAATGACCTCAGAATCACTTTATTTTATGGCTCATGCAATTAAATCCTTCCTCATCCCCGGATCCCCCTTCCCAATAATTGACATTGCCCATTCTCCCAGTGTTTTAAAATTTTATCCTTAAATTTGGCCCTGCCCCGTGTAATCCTGTGTGTTTAATGTTCAATGTTATATTGCTGTGTCGTTTATTATATTGGTTTTGCATTTTGTGTTTTTATTTTCTGGTTGTGTTATGCTTTTGTGTTATATTGTGTTTATTGTACTGATGGGCGTGGCCTCATGTAAGCTGCCCCGAGTCTCCCTGGGGGAGATGGAGCGGGGTATAAATAAAGTTATTATTATTATTATTATTATTATTATTATTATTGGGTTGTTGTAGGTTTTTTTCAGGCTATATGACCATGTTCTAGACTAGAGGCATTCTCTCCTGATGTTTCACCTGCATCTATGGCAAGCATCTTCAGAGGTAGTCACTACTTCTGAGAATGCTTGCCATAGATGCAGGCGAAACGTCAGGAGAGAATGCCTCTAGAACATGGCCATATAGCCCAAAAAAACCTACAACAACCCAGTGATTCCAGCCATGAAAGCCTTTGACAATACATTATTATTATTATTATTATTATTATTATTATTATTATTATTCCGCAGTCTCATTTTTTAATGCTCTTTAATATCTTTGGAAGTGAGCTGGAAGAGAGGTTTGGGTGCTGACTTTTCTCAGAGTGCCATCCTTGATCCCAGCAGGGTCTGGGTGCATAAGGATGTGTTTCCTTTTTATTTTGGGAGAATGGGTGCAATATGCCAAGGGACTAGGAAATTAGGGGGATTTTTTTAGGGGGAAAATCATCTTATTCTACAACCCCGTTGGAAGCAGCCTGGATGGTGCATATGGCCCACATTTTCACCATCCTTTCTTCTTAGATCTGCCCCCACCAGGCATTTCCATCTCTTGGAGGAAAGAGCTGCCTTGCATCCCGCAATCTAGCTTCTGTTTTAAGGGAAAAGTAAAATTACATTTACTCCATACATTGAACTAAGGTGGAGCAGTCCTTTGCCTTGGGCAGGGGTCCTCAAACTATGGCCCGGGGGCCAGATACGGCCCTCCAAGGTCATTTACGCAGCCCTCGCTCAGGGTCAGCCTAAGTCTGAAACGACTTGAAAGCACACAACAACAACAACAATCCTATCTCATCAGCCAAAAGCAGGCCTACACTTCCAACTGAAATACTAATAAGTTTATATTTGTTAAAATTGTTCTTCATTTTAATTATTGTATTGTTTTTAAGTGGTTTTTGAACTACAAATAAGATATGTGCAGTGTGCATAGCAATTCATTCATGTTTTTTTCAAATTGTAATCCAGCCCTCCAACAGTTTGAGGTGCTGTGATCTGGCCCTCTGTTTAAAAAGTTTTAGGACCCCTGGCCTTGGGTATCGAATAAACTTGGGCTGATCTCTTCAGTATTTCGTACAGATATAGGCGATCTTCTTAACATGTGCAACTCAGTTCTTGCGGCTCATGTTGTCTTGAAAGGGAGTCTCATAAGGTTCATGGAACTTCCTCCCAAGTAACATTGGTATGTTGTGTTTATGCATGCTCACATGCACACATGAAGAAGAGTTCTTCGCTGATACAAAGCTCAAACTACTTTCAGCATTTTTTGTTTTGATATACATTATTGCGTGTTTTGCAGCCCAAGCCGTACCCTTCCACGGAGCGTGTCCAGCTTTGAGGGCCGGAGCGTTCCAGCCACCCCTGTGCTAGCAAGAAACGCTTGCAGTGGAAGCCACCAGTTCAGGTAGGACCACACTCTGGAGTATACGGTGCTAGGCTAAGTAGTGGTTTTCCAGTCACACAACAGGTGTGATATCGGATTGGTGGCAGAGTGGGAGTCTATTATTCTTGCACCTGGATCTTGCTGAAGGATGGGACAAGCGTGGATGGGACAAGCATGTTTGTGAAATCTGTGAGGAAGAAGAATTTGTTCACATATAATAATAATAATAATAATAATAATAATAATAATAATAATAATATTTATTTATTTATACCCCGCCACCGTCTCGGAGCGGGGACTCGGAGCGGCTTACATGAGGCCAAGCTCAAATGACAATTACAATAAAGAAAAACCAAAAACACAAACCGATAATACGAACAATAACAATAACTTCATAGTTACATAAAACATATGAATACATAACAATATAAAAATAAAAAAATAAAAAATACATTTACAGAAACAAAAGGTGGCTGTATGAACTGTCGTAGAAATATCTGTATTAGTGTTAATGCTTTTATTTAGTCCAAAATATGTTTACCAATGAGGAATAGCAATGGCTTCTTTTTATTGAACTACGTCTCTGTACAGGCAGTCCTCAAGTTACAGACAAGATAAGTTCTGCAGGTTCGTTCTTAAGTTGAATTTGCATGTATGTATCTGGAGTTGAAGTTAGAAATGAACTTGTTATGACTTACATACACATTCAACTGGAGAACAAACCTACAGAACCTTCTTCGTAACTTGGGCACTGCCTGTATAGGCCTGGAGCTACACTTAAAAATGTACCTATTCTGACTTACATATATATATATATATATATATATATATATATAGAGAGAGAGAGAGAGAGAGAGAGAGAGAGAGAGAGAGACTTACATACATCTATATAGAAATAAAAATCTAATGTTCGTTTGTGGGATCAACATAACTTAAAAACCACTGGACGAATTAACCCCAAATTTGGACTCAATACACCTATCAGGCCAACGAGTGAACACCACTCATAAAAACACTGAAAAACACAGTGGAAGAGACTTAAAAAGCCAAAAAATATAAAAAAAAACACATGACAACACATGTGCAAAACCATCCATATATATATATAGAGAGAGAGAGAGAAAGAGAGAGAGAGCACGCACACATAGGGAAGGGTTACCACTCATGTGACTTTTTTTTGCTGTCTGTGGCCCTGTTTAGAAGATTTTCCCTCATTTTTTATCCCTCTGAGAATTGGATTTTGAAAAAAATGGCCTATTGTTGAAACAAGGATTAATGATAAAGCTTCAGTGGAAATACCTATTTCCCATGATAACTCTTTCAAGGGCAGATTTCTCTCACTTCCTGTTGTTCTTGGAGCGCCAAGTGGCGCAATGGGTTAAACCCATGTGTCGGCAGGACTGTTGACTGAAAGGTCAGTGGTTCAAATCTGGGGAGTGGAGTGAGCTCCTGTCTGTCAGCTCCAGCTTACCATGCGGAGACAGGAGAGAAGCCTCCCACAAGATGGTAAAACATCCGGGTGTCATCTGGTCAACATCCTTGCAGATGGCCAATTCTCTCACATCAGAAGTGCCTTGCAGTTTCTCAAGTTGCTTCTCACACACACACACACACACACACAAATACCTGTTCTTAACTATGAGTCCTAAGTAAGTCAGATGTTTGTAATTTGGAAAGTTTCTGTACCTTTTTGAATGAAATAAGCCTCTCGGTCAGTCCAAAAGAAAGAAATGATTCTAAAACCTGTGCTGGTCAGTGAGCATAATAAAGTTTTGTATTTTATTGTATTCTAAAACCATCTTCCTTTTCTCTCCATTTTCCATTCTCCATCATCTTGTGCCCTTAATATGCTTAATCTCAAGATGATCAAGATGGTTTTAAACAGTGGATTTTAATGTTGAGATAAATAATTTTAATGTTTATGAATGTGTATAATATTTTGATATCCCAGCATTGAATGTTTGCCGTTTCTATGTTGTGCTCCGCCCTGAGTCCCCTTCGGGGTGGAATATAATTTTTTCAAATAAATAAGAAATAAATAATAGTTACTGACCCATTTACAGTTTTGCTTTTCATATTTTTGACTGTTAGTGATTCTGTGATATCGGATTATCTATATACAGTATATTCTGGCGTATAAGACTACTTTTTAACCCAAGAAAATCTTCTCAAAAGTCAGGGGTCGTCTTATATGTGGGTGTAGTCTTATGCATGGGAGTTGTCCTAACTCTATATTTTAACTGGAAAAGTTGTGGGTCGTCTTATACGCCCAGTCGTCTTATATGCCGGAATATACGGTATATAAAAATGCTCGGTGCATAATGAGTACCTTAAAAACAAAAGAACCAATGAACAAAATCACACCAAATTTGGCAAAAAAACGTCTCACAAGACAAGGAGTGACCATCACTCAAAAAATTATGATTTTGTCATTTGGGAGTTGTAGTTGCTGGGATTTATAGTTCACCAACAATCAAAAAGCATTCTGAACTCCATCAACGATGGAATTGAACCAAACTTGGCACATAGAACTCCCATGACCAACAGAAAATACTGGAAGGGTTTGGTGGGCATTGACCTTGAGTTTGGGAGTTGTAGTTCACCTACATCCAGAGACTACCATGGACTCAAACAATGATGGATCTGGACCAAACTTGGCATGGATATTCCACATGCCCAAATATGAACACAGATGGAGTTTGGGGGAAATAGGCCTTGACATTTGGGAGTTGTAGTTCCTGTGATTTATAATTCACCTACAATCAAAGAGCATTCTGAACCAGACCAACAACAGAATTGGGCCAAGCTTCCCACACAGAACCCCCATGACCAACAGAAAATACTCAAGGCCATCCAGTCCAACTCCCTTCACCAGGGCAAGAAAATGTAATCAAAGCCCTCCTGACAAAGAGCCATCCAGCCATAGATATAGATAGATAGATAGATATGATTCACACACACACAGATATCGTATCATAGATTTGAAAGGGACCCCTAAAGAAGGACAATGATATGTTGCATGTTCCAGAGTAGGCAAACCAGACAATCTCCACATCAACACTGACAAAGAAACAGCAAGAAGTACTGTTTACCCACAAGCATAAAGAAATTACATATATTAGAAACCAACACTTTCTCATTACTTTATTTTCCAGATCAACAGACTGGGCCACAGCAATGCGTGGCAGGGGACAGCTAGTAAACCATAAACTTTGATAACAAATTTTGTAAAGTAGTTTCAGCCATAGGCCTTCAAGTCAATATTGTGTGAACACAGAATCCAAAGAGACGTTTGAGAGAAATAGTTGTGGCCGGGGAGAAAGTATGAGTATCCTGTAAACTGGGTTAAAAGCACACTATGCTTTTTCTTCCTGTGCCAGTCTGCTTTGCAAATTTCTGACAGCTCAAGCAGAGCATTTTAAATGAGCAATGCAATTCATTCTTACAACAAAAGAAAGGAATATTTCTCTGTGAACCTTTTGTCCTGGATGTGTTTCCTGACTGGAAGGAGATCTGCCTAGAGCAATGACTCTGGGATGTGTTGCTTGTGGCAGAGCAGCGAATGGTGTTCCCTATTCACCTACGTCAAGGAGTATAGGTGCCCATGGCTAACTAAATTAATTTGGTACATGAGACAGAAAACCCCATGATAATAAATTAAAGAATGGAACAATTCCTTTCTGTTTTCACGGCACCCATAACTTCTTTCCTGAGGCAGATGCCTCACTCTGCGTAATAACAAGGTTGGCCCTGTAGTGACTCACAAAGAGAATGAGCCACCTTCTTATAATGTGGGTAGTCCTGAATTGTTCCAGTTACAGTCTTGCATCAGAGCTACCCTTTGCCAAGGGTGGAAAAGAACAGAATTGGCCATACTGGACTCAGGATTCAGAAACTTGGAATCCAAAATAAGTATTATTTTTAAGCTTGAGAAACAAGAAAAAGGCTTGATCATTTCAGAATGTGAATGCAGATTTTCACTAGGTCAGTGTTTCTCAACCTGGGGGTCGGGACCCCTGGGGGAGGGTGTCAGAGGGGTCGTCAAAAGCCACCAGAAAACACAGTATTTTCCGTTGGTCATAGGGGATTTGTGTAGGAAGTTTGGCCCATTTCTATAGTTGGTAGGGTTCAGAATGCTCTTTGATTGAAGGTGAACTATAAATCCCACAACTACAATTCCCAAATGTCAAGGTATGTTTTCTACAAACTCCACCAGTGTTCACATTTGGACATATTGAACATCTGTGCCAGGTTTGGTCCAGATCCATCATTGTTTGAGTCCACAGTGCTCTCTGGATGTAGGTGACCTAACTACCACTCCCAAACTCAAGGTTAGTGCCCACCAAACCCTTCCAGGGTTTTCTGTTAGTCATGGGAATTCTGTGTGCCAAGATTGGTTCAGTTCCATCGTTGGTGGAGCTCAGAATGCTCCTTCATTGTAGGTTAAGTATAAATCCCAGCAACTACAACTCCCAAATGACAAATTCAATCCCCACCCCAACCCCAACAGTATTCAAATTTGGGCGTAGCGGGTATTTGTGCCAAATTTGGTCCAGCGAATGAAATACATCCTGCATATCAGATATTTACATTATGATTCATAACTAGCAACATTACAGTCACGAAGTATCAAAAAATAATTTTATGGTTGGGGGTCGCCACAACATTAAGGGGTCACGACATTAGGAAGGTTGAGAACCACTGATTTCGGTTATACCTTTCAATACATTGATTTCTTAAGGCACATACTAACACTTCATTGGTAGCACACCGTTTTTTGAGATGGTTTTAATTCTCATTTTCTGCCTTCTGCAGATCTGAGGTCCCTGCTCTCCATCCTCGCCAGTGGTCCGGCAGCCACGATTCCCAGCTTGGCCCCCCAAGTCGTGACACCAGCGCTGACCGAGCCTCTCTCTTCGCTGCCCGGACCCGTCGTAGCAATAGCTCGGAGGCCTTGATTGAACGGGCCCCTTCGGAGGACCCTCTGTTGCCTGCGGGGCCTCCTTTTAAAAGCGCCGAGGCCCTGGCGCCTTCCGTCTCAGGCCGGAACCCTCGCCCCCCATACAACGACCTCCTTGTGGACTACTACGTCGAGCGCAGATGCTGGGGGGCCAGCAGTGCGGGCGGCGGTGAGCATCTTTCCCGCAGGGATGGGCCTCCCCAGACAGAGTGGGAGGTCTACCCCAACAGCCCGCTCCAGCGCCGAGCCCGGCCGGCTGCCCGCACTAAATCCTGCGGCCCGCTCTTGCCCCCCCAGTCTCGAGAGGTTGGTTATGCGCCTCCGGCGTTGCCCCCTCAACGTAACTTCCACAAAGCCCTGGCTTTGGAGGGGCTCAGGGATTGGTACTTGCGTAATGCTGGCATCGGCCAGCGAGGGGCACCAGAGAGGCGGGGGGCTCCTCAGTCTGTACACCAACTGCGCAACTACTACGAGCCGTCGCCTTCCAACCCGGAGATGGGCTACTACAGTGGGCCAGGAGGGCTACCCCACTCTGTGAGCTATGCTGGGCAGCCACTCTATGGCAGGTATGGGGCACTATTCTACCCTTTGCCCCGATAACCCCATCAGCCTTTCCTCCACATCTCTATTCTGTTTCCACCTTCTCTGCCTCTCTCATATAACATTCCCATTTTTTCCTGAAACATTCCCTTCTGATGTTCTATTTCACATTTGTTCCCTCCTTTCTCCGCTCTGCGCTGGGGAGGGGACACAATTTCATGTACTTGCCTTCGTTGACATATTAGCTTTAAGATCGAACATTGTGGACAGTGGGCTGAGAGGGGGTGGCGTGGATTCGAGACTTCTGGGACAGGAAAGGGAGCCAGGTATCCTGGCAAGGGAGCAATCTTGAGCTACTGCCTTTTTCCTTTCGGCTTCTTTCTCTAATTCTTTTTTCCCTTTCTTTCTTTCTTTCCCTCCTTTTCCTTGCTCTGCTCTGCCTTCTTTAGACCTTTTGGGGAGCTGCTTTACATGGATGACTCTGCTGGCCCCTACAGCTTGGACTCTACAGAGCACCCCACCCCGGGGACTTTGGTCTGACCCTCGCTTTTCCCCCAAGGGGAAATGGAGTTTTATTTCCTTTAAAAAGAAAATTTCCTCGCTGGTGCCTCTTTTTGTGTGTGTTATACACCATGTTCAGGGGGGTGGGTAGTACTCCCTGCTGGCAGGGTGTGTCTGTATGTGAATGCCTGCACAGATGTGAGGGAGAGGGAGTTTGTGGGTATTTTGTCGAATGTCACGCTCGACCACACAATCGGGAGGCAGGAATGCATCCCCGGGTCTTCCTACACATATTTAATGTTTTCCCGGTTGGGATTTGTGGGACGTGTGTTGACCGTATCTAAACAAAAGGGTTTGGCTCCTGTGGATTGCGCCTTCTTGGTGACTGCTGGGGAGTGGTGCAATTTTCTCTCTCTCTCTCACCCTGGTGCTGTGGGTTTAAGGTGTGGCAGTTTAAACCCAAGACTCTGGAATGTATCATTGGAACGATGTGCGTGTGTGTGTTGTGTAATGTGAAATAGCACAGACCTGTCATCTTGCTAATAGACATCAGTCCTGTAAAAAAATAATAAACTGGGAGATAATATATTCTACACAGCTCTTGTTACCCCAACAACGAGTTTCCCCCTTAAATGTTATCGCCCCTTCCTACCGCTGAAAGGAAGTAAGGAAAATAAATTCTTTGGAATTATTCGGATTTTAAGGAAGTCCTTTGGCTCCATTCTGCAAGCTGTTTTTATATGCCCTGACCTTTTTGTCTAGCGTTGGGTGCAAAGTTATTGGCTTTGATGCTTTTCCGCAGGGAACTCCCAGCTTAAGCATCTGCCCTTTTGCAATAGCTGCAGGGAATCCATGTTATTTCCAACAAGGTATCTTTCAAGCATCTTCATGCGCAGTTATGAAAAGTCCACTGGTACAAACTCCTTCTTTAGCATCCTTTCCCTCCACATTTGAGTCTTGCCTTGTCTGTCTTTTTTTTTTTTTTGAAAGCCCAAACCCTTGTCTTTCCCTTAAAAATAACAATAAAGCATTCCAAAATCTCTAATGTTTTTTCTTCCCCTCACAATTGCCCAGCAAGGATTAGCCTGCTTTGTTTAAATTCTGGTTCTGCAAATTGAGGAGAGAAAGATGGCCCAGACCTCTCCCCCACCTGCCCACCCGCCCGCTGTTTTCCTCTCCCCTGTGTACGTGAAGGAACAAGAACACCAGAGTCACTGTCTCGTGTGTCTTTTTAATATACATTAACCTACAGATTGTATATGGGGTCTGAATGTAAAATGGAGCACTGTGCATATGACATAAGGTTTCTATAATAAAGATTGTAAAGATGACATTGTTGCCTGGTACCTGAGTGATGCAGTAGTTAAAGCCCTCGACTAGGAGAACTGGGTTCACTCGGCCATGGAGCTTGTTGGGTGAATGTGATTTGGGGTTTGCTGTCAGGCAGAATCCAAAATCCCACCATCAGGAACCTGCTCATTTTGTTCTGTCCCAAACCGCTATACCAGGGGTCCTCAAACTTTTTAAACAGAGGGCCAGGTAACAGTGCCTCAAACTGTTGGAGGGCCGGATTATAATTTGAAAAAAACATGAATTAATTCCTATGCACACTGCACATATCTTATTTGTAATGCAAAAAAAAACAACACTTTAAAACAATACAATAATTGAAATGAATAACAATTTTAACAAATATAAACTTATTAGTATTTCAATGGGAAGAGCGGGCCTGCTTTTGGCTGATGAGATAGGATTGTTGTTGTTGCTTCCAAGTCATTTCAGACTTAGGTTGACCCTGAGCAAGGGCCGGGTAAATGACCTTCGAGGGCCATATCCAGCCCTCAGGCCTTAGTTTGAGGACCCTTGCACTATACTCTTATTCTCCAAACCTGCCACAAAAGGATAGCTCCATCCCTAAAGCTCTCCTGGTTCTGTGGATGGAGATCACTGCATTTCACCCATTATCTCAGGAGCCCCTGGTGGCGCAATGGGTTAAACCAGGGGTCCTCAAATTTTTTAAACAGAGGGCCAGGTCATGGTCCCTCAAACTGTTGGAGGGCCGGATTATAATTTGAAAAAACATGAATGAATTCCTATGCACACTGCACATATCTTATTTGTAATGCAAAAAACACTTAAAAACAATACAATAATTAAAATGAAGAACAATTTTTGACAAATATAAACTTATTAGTATTTCAGTGGGAAGTGTGGGCCTGCTTTTGGCTGATGAGATAGATGATTGTTGTTTTTGTGTGCTTTCAAGTCGTTTCAGACTTAGGTTGACCCTGAGCAAGGGCCGGGTAAATGACCTTGGAGGGCCAAATCTGGCCCCCGGGCCTTAGTTTGAGGACCCCTGGTGAAATGGATGGCAATAGTTGTTAGTTTGGTGAGATATTGGTGGAAAATGTTGCTAATACCTTCATTTCATGAATACTGTTCACACACATATACACCCTATTTGGCAGTGGTTGTATGTGTGAATGTGTGCCTTCAAGTTGTTTGTTGACTTACAGGCCCTGCTCGCGATCCCGCTGGCATCGCAAGCACGGTTGGTGGGGGCGAGAGATAGGGCCTTTTCTGTGGTTGCCCCCCGACTTTGGAACACCCTCCCCAAAGACATCAAATTAGCACCCACATTGGCAGGCTTTAGGAAGAGCTTGAAGACTTGGCTGTTCCAATGTGCCTTCCCGGAATAGGAAACTTCAGCACTATGTCCCAGAAGCACTTTATTAGAGTTTTAAGATCCTCTGCACATTGCACATGCCCTGAAATCCAATAATAATAATAATAATCTCAATGGGTTTTCGTAAGCAAGGTGTATACACAGGTGTTTTGCCAGTTCCTTCCTTTTAAATATAGCCTACTGTACCCTTGATGGTCTCCCATTTCAGTACTAACAAGGATTGACCCTTTTAACATCCAAGATCAGATGGGAATTAGTGTCTTTAGGGTGGCTGGCCCTGCCATTGAACAAAATGAGGTGGCTGTCCCAAGCAGAAGATAATAGGAGCTGGCAGTTGAAGGAGAGATCTGGGCAAACCATAGACATTGGCCTACCCTGCCCTTCCTGAATCGAGCGTGTTGGCATCAGGATACTTAGGAGGACAAAGGTTGGGCTGCAGTCACTTGTTGGAATTGTCAACTATTACTGGAAGGAAATGATTGAATCATCAAGTCTCTGCTGACATGCAGAAACAACTCACTGTAGCCAAACAGACATTTAAATGTATGTATATCCAAAATACTGTGATAATGACTTTTATTTTTTACAAATATGTAGAAATGTAAAAAAAGGTAGATGACATAAGTTGTATGGTATAGCTAATTTTTTTTAAAGACACAGTACATGCCTTCCTTGGTCTAATTACATCCAAATGGAACTACTATTGCAAAAACTCACATAGAATCATAGAGTTGGAAGTGTCCTCGTGGGCCATCCAGTCCAACCGCCTGCCAAGAAGCAGGAAAATTGCATTCAAAGCACCCCCGACAGATGGCCATCCAGCCTCTGTTTAAAAGCCTCCAAAGAAGGAGCCTCCACCACACTCCAGAGCAGAGAGTTCCACTGCTGAACAGCTCTCGCAGTCAGGAAGTCCTTCCTAATGCTCACGCTAACCAAAGTTCTAAATACAGACCTCTTTCTCTATCAATTTTACATAAGGAATTTCAGGTGACAATCTAGGCTTTTAAACAGAGGCTGGATGGACATCTGTCGGGGGTGCTTTGAATGCAATTTTCCTGCTTCTTGGCAGGCGGTTGGACTGGATGGCCCATGAGGTCTCTTCCAACTCTATGATTCTATGTGAGTTTTTCGCAATACTAGTTCCATTTGGATGTAATTAGACCGAGGAAGGCATGTACTGTGTCTTTAAAAAAATGTTAGCTATTAAAAAACTCTAAAATTGCAACAGCACAACAACAGAGAGGAAGCAGGCAGGGACATCTAATCACCTCTCAACAAAAGTTTGCCCCAGGCACAGTCAGGCCATTGTATGCTAATCAAGGTGGTCAGCTGAAACATTCACACCTAGCTCCAGCAGACAAGAGTCCTTTGTCTCACCCTGGTCATTCCACAGATATATAAGCCCTTTTGCCTAGTTCCAACAGACCTCACTACCTCTGAGGATGCTTGCCACAGATGCAGGCGAAACGTCAGGAGAGAATAGCCATATAGCCCGAAAAAACCTACAACCCAATCTAGGATTTCTAAAGAAGAGTAGACGAATGATGCAATGGCAAATGTACACAGAAATGTAATCGCATCTAATGCTATGAAGGGCCACAGCAGCCATATTTCAAACATCACTCTTAAGCTATTTTGAATACAAGAACTGGCAGACATTTCCCAAAAATTTAGCACCCACATCCGTGCCAAGTTTAGCTGGAGGTACGTCCCAGTAATTATGATAAATATATTTAAAATGACAGCCTCTTAAGTATTTAATGGTGCACTTGTGCCTTTAGATTGCCGCCAGAAGTGTTGGGTGTCATAGATGCACGTTCCTCTGTTGATGAATGCAACACCAGGTGGCATCCTGCCATTAAAGAAAAATACTTCATATTACGCCAAGTATAGGGATTTTCGGTCGACATCCATCTATATAACCCAGGTGTCAACCCTCAAGGTTGGCACAGTTGAGAGATACAGCGAGCAACGTTTAGTAGACCAATTGTGCCCAGTGGCAAAGAAAGTATGTGAGAAAAAGTAAATACTTCCAAACACTGCAGTTTCCCATTATTATTATGCAATGAGAAGGCATTTTAAGAATAACAGCTATTTAAAGAGACATACGTTGTATGGAATACTCTAAGTGATAGAAAAAATGTGTTGTTGGCTTTCATGGCCGGAATCTCTTGGTTGCTGTGAGTTTTCCAGGCTGTATGGCCATATTCCAGAAGCTTTCTTTCCTGACGTTTCACCCACATCTATGGCAGGCAACCTCACTATCTTTGAGGTGGGTGAAACATAGGGGAGAAGGCTTCTGGAACATGGCCATACAGCCTGGAAAACTCACAGCAACCAACAGAAAAAATGCTTTTGTGTATAAAACATTGACATCTTCACAGAAGTTGAGACAGACTTGTTTCAGGCTGGAAACGCTGTTCTATAAAAGGTCCACAGCCATGAATCACTTTGTCATGTAGTCAAGCTTGTAACAAATGGCTAGGAAGCAGCATTTTTGGTGAGTTGCAAACAAAGGAGTGTTTAAAAATCAAAGGTGGTACGTATCCCTTGGAAGAGAATGTGTATGGCATAAAGGCTGGCATAAAAATTGGGAGTTCCATATCTCAAAGTTCTCTTGTATGAGTTTATTAAATAGGGATGAGAGTGGTTCTCCAGATGGGCCAGGTGTCAACCCTCAAGGTTGGCACAGTTGAGAGATACAGCGAGCAACATTTAGAGACCAATTGTGCCCAGTGGCAAAGAAAGTATGTGAGAAAAAGTAAATACTTCCAAACACTGCAGTTTCCCATTATTATTATGCATTCGTGCCTCTTCAAATTCTGCAGCACTGCTGGTCACAGCTGACCTCCAGCTGGAGCGCTCAAGGGCCAGGGCTTCCCAGTTCTCAGTGTCTATGCCAGAATTTATAAGGTTAGCTTTGACCCCATCTTTAAATCTCTTTTCCTGTCCTCCAACATTCTGTTTTCCCTTCTTGAGTTCAGAGTAGAGCAACTGCTTTGGGAGGTGGTGGTCGGGCATCCAGACAACATGGCCGGTCCAGTGGAGTTGATGGCAGAGGATCATTGCTTCAATGCTGGTGGTCTTTGCTTCTTCCAGCACGCTGACATTTGTCCGCTTGTTTTTCCAAGAGATTTGCAGGATTTTCCAGAGGCAGCGCTGATGGAATCGTTCCAGGAGTTTCATGTGACATCTGTAGACTGTCCACATCTTGCAGGCGTATAGCAGGGTTGGGAGAACAATAGCTTTATAAACAAACACCTTGGTATCCCTACGGATGATCAGTAACCTCAGGAGGAAAAGGATGTTGAGCCACCTCTGATGCAACATGAAACTGAAATGAGTGGAAATTATCTCTGAAGTCACACAGAGGGCAAATTCTTCCTTCTCCCATGTTTACTCCTGAGGAAAATGGTCAATGTAGCTTCCGGGGCCTCTCTATTAAGCTAAGTTTTTGGGGATTCATCCAACATTCTTCTTCGCCTCAATATATTCCTTCCTAAAGCTATTGCAAGTGACTTAGCTTGCCAGCATTGCAGGAAATGGGAGTCACATGTGCTACAACTTTTCTGCTAGCCTAGCAGGAGGGCAACAAGTAATAAAGGGGAATAATTGGTTGAACATTTAATAGAACCATATAAATCTTTCCAATATAATAATACCTCGCCTGCTATCAAAACATGCAGAGCCACACTGCCTGGGGTTAATGTGAACCGAGAGCCAAACCATCAAGAGAAGCATAAGGTTAGAGAAGGCTGGGAAACCCCACAATCAGGCAAGCCATGGATCTGATGGTGAAGCTTTGGGATCCTACAGGTAAACAAATCATGCATTAGACTGGCTGAAGGAGATTGAATTACTCTGAATTTATGGTTCTTCAAGGAAGGCTTACCCATAGGAATTAATAGTTCCTGTGTAAAGTCAACCATGAACAAATGCAATTCTGCATCCTACACCTCACAAACTAAGGAGTACAAAGGGACTATTTTTCTCTAACACAATTTAAAAATAAACTAGAAATAAACTTTCAAGTCCTTTGTCAACCACATATTTCTTTTTTAAAAAACAAACAACTCGTACATAAAACTGGACAGGCATGACATTGAAATTCCTTGGACAGTTGTGTTTCTTGGCAATGCTTCTAGCAGCATCATTACAAAAAAAGTCCTATCACAATTAAATGATAACTCCCATCATTTCTTACCCTTAACCTTTGTGGCTGGAACTTCTGGGAATTGAAATCCAAAATGTCTGGGGCCCCTTCTACAGTGCCATATATAATCCAGATTATCTACTTTGAACAAAATTATATGACAGTGTAGACTCATAATCCAGTTCAAAGCAGATAATGTGGATAATCTGCTTTGATAATAGGGATTATATGGCAGTGTAGAAGGGGCCTCAGTGGGTTCCCTACTCCTGATTTAGCGAACATCTCATTCCATATGCTACTTATCACTATGCTCTATTCCAGTGGTTCTCAACCTGTGGGTCCCCAGATGTTTTGGCCTTCAACTCCCAGAAATCCTAAAAGCTGGTAAACTAGCTGGGATTTCTGGGAGTTGAGGGCCAAAACACCTGGGAACCCACAAGTTGAGAACCACTGCTCTATTCTAAGCTTGGTCCATCACCCGATGTTCTGTATATGGCCAGACCCAGTAGGGAAGTGGTTCTCAACCTGTGGATCCCCAGGTGTTTTGGCCTTCAACTTCCAGAAATCCTAACAGCTAGTAAACTGGCTGGGATTTCAGGGAGTTGTAGGTCAAAACACCTGGGGGGGACGGGGACGAAGGTTGAGAACCACTGCAATAGGGCCTCCCATGTCAGGGGGTTGGTGAATCCATTGTCTAGACTTAAAGGAGCTATCCAGGGTGCTGAAATGAATTAAGAACCAATTTACCACCCTAGGTCCCTTCCACATAGCTGAATAAATTCCTACATTATCTGCTTTGAGCTGGAATATATGGCAATGTGGACTCAGATCAAAGCAGATATTGTGGGATTTTCCACCTTGATATTCTGGGTTATATGGCTGGTCTGGAAGGGCCCCTAGAGACCACAGATTAAAAGCATGAATGTTTTTGTCATCTCCTTGAAATAGTATCCACTAATTGCCTCACCAGACTGGTTTGATAATGGGTGATGGAGGGAAAGTTAACATTTCAAACTTTGTCTGATTTGACTCTGGAATGGTCCCCTAAGGGTAATAACAAAATATGTTTTCTTCTTCAGAAATGGAATGTACAATCTGCCATGTCCGTTGGCTACTGCCTGGATTCTAGAGATTCTCTTCTCCACTGCCAACACAACTAGCCTTTTCCATAAAATCTAAGATTTCCATAAAATCTAAGATTTAAGTCTCAGAAATCACTATCTACCCTGCAATATCAACCTTCATATCATATCTACTTTGTTCTGACTTAGTTCCATGCCTCTCTGTAAAATCAGGAGACACCATGGGCTTTGTAGATGACAACATGAACACACTGTATTACCGTATATTCCGGGGTACAGAACGGCTATAAGATGACCCCCCGATTTTAGCAAACAAAATAGAGAGTTTGGGATATACTCGCCGTTTAAGACGACTCCCCAAACCAGGCGCTTCTTGGGCTGCTCTCCTTCCTGTCCAGGCTTTGCGCGAAGTGCCTCTACTCCTGCGAGACAACGTTGTCTTGTGGGAGAAGAGGCACTTCTCGCAAGGCATGGACAAGAAGAAGGAGAGCGGTCTGAGCAGCACAGGAAGCAGCTTGGGGGCCCGGCCGCCAACAAAGGAGAGGCCTGGGCCTGTGAAAGGAAGGCAACCAGGAAGGGAGGAAGGACAGGGAGCCTGCCCAGGAGGCCGCCATGAGCCGAGGAGGAGGAGGAGGAGGGGAGCCCGAGGCCAAGGCAGCCATATTAAGTAATTTTATTATTATTTTAATTTTATACCCGGCATACTTTTATAAAATTTTATAAGGTTTTACATGCCTAAAAAGTCATCTAGTACCCCGGAATATACGGTAGATAAGAATGGAGCCCTCATTTAAGTCTTACCGCTACCACGACTATGTTGGTTGAACCAAGTCAAGCCTTTCATTGCAATATGAAATCAAGACACAATCTAAATGATAAGGTTTCTGTAAGCAGTACAGTAATACTGCATATAAAGTACTGGAAAGTGGAATAGAAATGCAAGGAAGTACTATTCTACAAGACAAGCTTCCTTGGACAACTAGAACTAGGCCGCCTTTTCATCTGCTGATTTTGCTCTACAATTCCATTTCCTTCTTTTTGCAATCACACATCTAAAAATTCAACAGACTAATATTTAGTCAGGATTTAGAAAAAAACATGTAGTTGTAATTCATTGATCTTACTTCATACTCACTCTATCTTATGTCTCTAAAGACTTCATCATACTGGAGAAAAAATCCACTTTAAATCTGGTTTTTGCCTCCTGCAGAATTCTGGGGATTGTAGTGAGGCTGTTAAAGGCTCTTCCTTAAACTACAAACCCCAGAATTCTCCAGGAGGCAGAAACTGGATTTTAAATTGATTTTTTCTCTAGTGTGATGAGTCCCTTAGTGCAACCAGGAAAAACAGTCCCAAGAATTAAAACACATTATTGGTTAGAAATACTGACTTGATGTCAACCCTGTTTGTTTCGTTCTTCTATTGGTCCCCAACAATCACTACTTGGAGGTCCCACCAGTTGCAAGTCCAGAAAATACTGTCTTTTTGCATCAGCTCATAGCCAGGCTCTTCAACAGAGTTGTGCAAATTGGAAAGCAAAGGAGCTGGGGTGGAAAGAGTCATCAGTCCATTGGAAGGAAGGAAAAGATGGTAGGTAATGCAACCCTGGTGATGGTCTAAGATCCAGCTTCCTGTTCCTGCCCAAGAGCTTCCAGGAGCAGCCCCATGGGTGTGCGCTTGAGTCCGATGCTCTCCATTTTGTTCTCTATCTTGTTCTTGAGGTTGCGGAGACGTAGAGAAGCGTGGATGAGGATCACTGCAAAGGGGGCGGGAGGGGCAGAGGGGGAAGCTGAGGTTTACAGACCGCCGTGGAGATAGAAAGCCATTACATCCCTCTGCCCCAGCAATCTCCCTTCCTGCAGAAGAATTTATATTCTCATAACCAGGCCTGGAAGAGCCAAACCGCTGCAGGCATTTCCCCCAGGAGAGATCAGATTGCTTCTCCAGAAAATAAACAGGGATAGAGTTTGCCTTTATTATCCCACAGGCTTCCTGGAGTGGCTCTTCAGCAACCGAGTAAAAACCACCCCCACTCAAAATAAATCTTCCTGCAGAGATATTCCCCCAGAGTCAGAGATATAAGCTACCTGGCACTTGCCAGTTGTTTCAGACCACACCTCCCATCAGCCCCGGCCAAGGTTAGGGGTTGTGAAAATGGTTCTGGATTACAGGCAGCCCCCAAGTTACGAAAAAGATAGGTTCGTATGAATTTGTATGTAAGTTGGAACAGGGACATTTTATAAGTGTAACTCCAGCCATTTTTGTTTATTTATACACACACACACACACACACACACACACATATACATATTAGGCAAGCCCCCACGCTAGCAATCTTCAGGAGGAATATGAAAACCTGGTTATTCCAATGTGCCTTCAGTGATTGAATGTAAGATACTCCCTGACCAAACTCTGCACAAAATGTCCTTAGAAGCACTTTATTTTATGGCTCTATAGCCCGAAAAAACCCACAAGAACCTAGTGATTCCAGCCATGAAAGCCTTCAACAATACTTTATTTTATGGTTCGTGCAATTAAATCCTTCCTCGTTCCTGGATACTCCTCCTTATAATTTACATTGTCCTATCTCCCAGTGTTTTAAAATGTTGTCCTTGAATTTGGCCCTGCCCAGTGAAATCTTCTGTGTTTTCAGTGTTTGATTTTATATTGTTGTGTCACTTATTATATTGGTTTTGCATGTTATGTTTATTTTGTTCTACTATGTTTTTGTGTTATATGGTGTGTACTGTATCAATGGGCGTGGCCTCATGTAAGCTGCACCGAGTCCCCCTGGGGGAGATGGAGCAGGGTATAAATAAATTATTATTATTATTATTATTATTATTATTATTATTATTACATATGAACCTGCTAGGACTTTAAAATCGTCCAGGGAGGCCCTGCTCTCGATCCTGCCTGCGTCACAAATATGTTTGGCGGGGAAGAGATACAGGGCCTTCTCAAAGGTGGCCCCTCAGCCATGGAACGCCCTTCCTAGGGACATTAGATCGGCCCCCTCCTTCTTAACATTCCGGAAAAGAGTCAAGACCTGGCTGTTCAAGCAAGCGTTTGAAAATTTATTTATTTATTTATTTAGTTAGTTAGTTAGTATATTTGTATACCGCCCCTCTCAGCCTTCCAGCGACTCGGGGCGGTTTACAAGGCAAAATTCAATGCCACCAAGAACACAATTACAATATAAAACGTCAACATCAATAAAACCATAACACTGTAATAAAACATAATTCAATAAATACTCATTAAAATGCAATGTAAAAGACATAGGAACTTGGAACGACTGGACAACAAGATGGATAATGTTTTTAATTAGGATACGTAAATGGCTTATGTTTTTATTACTTTTGTTTGGTTTTATACTATGTATTAATTGTTTTATGATGTTCTTGGGCATCGAATCGTTGCCTCTGTAAACCGCCCTGAGTCACCTGAAGGTTTAGAAGGGCAGTATACAAATATAGCAAATAAATAAATATATACATACCTACATACATACATAAGCTTTGGATAGAAAAACCTGTGGTGTTTCTTTTGCTGTCTGTTCCCCTGTTCAGAAGATGTCCCCTCACTTTCTGTCTCTGTGACAATTGTTTTTGAACATTTTTGCTTATTGTGGAAACAACGATTGGAGAGAAAGCTTCAGTTGAGACACCTTTTCCCTATGATATCACTTACAGGAGTAAATTTCCCTTCCTAGGGGTAGATTGCTCTCACTTCCTGTTGTCTGGCCCCCATTCTTAACTGTGAGTAATTTGTAAGTTGGATGTTTGTAACTCAGGGGCTGCCTGTACAACCTTCAGACGCCTTGGTTATTGGCCACACTGCCAGAGGTTTGAGGGATTTACAGTAAAATACACAGTATCTTACAGTCATAGTTGGATGGGACCACAAGGGACATCCAGTCCAACACCTACCATACAGGAACACACAATCAAAGCACCCTCAGACAGATGGCCATCCCATGGAGCTCATCATGTCACTTACCCAAATCTTAGCCTGGGGGTTTTATCTGTAAAAGCCGACTACTAAGTGTACAAAATCTCTGCAATCACCTTGTAAATTGAAGGAGAAAGCATTCTACCAATTGCCATACCCTTCTCCCAACAACCCAGCTCCCGTTCACGAACTCACGCATGATGGGTAGAGCGATGAAAACCAAGAAGGTGGCAGAGCCTTCCAAGAGAGACACCAGGAAGTATGCCAAGCCAAGGACGGCAAAGAAGCAAGTGCCAGGGTAATTCCTCCGGAAGCGTCGGAGAGGAGCCTTGTTTTCAGCTGCCCAAACGAAGCCCACGAAGATCAGCGTGACAAGTGTGCCACTCAACAGCGTCAGCCCAGGGCAAAAATACCTGCCAAGAGATGAGGAGGGTGAAAAAATCCATGTTCAGTCCTGTCTAAAGGCATGCAATAATTTCTTGTTATAGCCAAACAGATAAGCTATCATATAAAGAGATCACATCTATATAAATGGAAATATTTCAAACAACCCAGATAATGCCTCCATAGCATTATCCATAGCATGTCCCGCTGATTGCAATGAGAAATATACAAAGAGGTGCTTTTTTCTGTGACAGAAATTAATGACATTTACTAGTAAAGAAGTCTTATAAGGGAGATTACACCTATCAAATTTCAGACAAATAAGATGCAAGGGTTAACCGTTGGGATTGTGGGCTGGGGGGATATTTTGCTTTTAAATCTAATTTTAATTGTATTTGAAGCTTTGTATCCATGACACAAATATTTAATTATTTTTAATTGTTTGTATCCATATGTATGTGTATTTCCTACTTTGTCTTATGTTACTGTTAGCCACTTTGAGTCTCTATGGGGAAAAGGCGGGCAAAAAATAAAGAAAACAACAACAACAACAACAACAGGTATGCATCTTTAAAAGCTGCAAGGTTTTGAACAAATGGCTGCACAGATTTTTGTGCAAAAGCAGCTTATTCAGAAAAAAAGACATGCTTCACCTTCTTATATTCCTTGTATTATGTTCCTGTGAAAATGTATCACAACATAACATTTTTATGTCATTTAAAATTAGATCTCCAGTTCCAAAAAAGCCAGCTAACCAAAGGAAGCACGTACAACATCACAGCAATAGAGAGAACTATTTTCCTTGCAGAGGTACAGTTAGACTGTGTGGGTTAATCAAACCAGACCCATTTCATTGTATCTTTCCAAAGCAGCAAAAGTCCCTGCAAGGGATACAAATCCTGCTTCTCATAATGCACAAGCTGTAAAATAAATCTGGTCCCCCCAGAAGATGAGGTACTGCAACTCTCATTGCTGTTGCTGTGTGACTTCAAATTGTTTCCAATTTATGCCAAACCTATACTGAATTGATTACCAAGTTTTCTGGGGCTGAGAATGTGTGACTTGCCCAAAGTTGACTAGTAGGTTTCCATGGCTGAGCAAGGAATTGAACCCTGGTTTCCAGATTAGCATTCTAATGATGATGATGATGATGCAAAAGGCTACCTTACTTGGATCTGTGCGTATCATTCGAAAATATATCACGCAGTCCTAAACACTTGGGAAGTGTTCAAATTGTGATTTTATGATATGAAATCCAACATATATATCTCATTTGCTGTGTCATACTGTGTTTTTGTGTCAGTAACATAATAATAATAATAATAATAATAATAATAATAATAATAATAATAATTTCTAGACTACCCTATCTCCCCTCAGGGAGGTTTACACATAAAAAGGCAAACATTCAATGCCTCAAAATAGGTACAAACACATCAAATAAAACGGAATAAAGAAGAGTAACGATAGAAAACTTACAACAAGGAATTAAGCATCAGAATAAAAAATAATAAAAACAATCCATTAAGACACAAAAACTAAAACATAACTAAGCATTACAATGGACACCCTAAAAACCAATTATGAATCATCACTCCATTATCCTGGTTCCCAATTCCCATTATCCTTTTCTGTATTATTATTATTATTATTATTATTATTATTATTATTACCTATCTGCCGTAGACTGATGAGAGTGAAGAGTTCAACACACCTGTAATTTGGCTGTTGAATCAGCAAACAACCCAAAACTCCCTTTCCAGCTTAACCCAGTGCTGACAGCTGGGAGTCGAACTACAACCCCTATCATTCCAAATCTGCTTTACAAGACCATCCTTAAATTATCAGAAGCATTACTCATGGTGCATTCCTATGTGAGCTACGAGTACATCCTGAACAAACCCAATCTTATCTGATTTTAGGGTCTAAGCAGGGTAAGAACTGCTTCTTAATGCCATGTCTGACATTGACTGAATGCTATGGAAGTGTGGGAGTTGTAGTTTTTACAAAGTATTTAGCCTTCTCTGCCAAAAAATGCTGGTACCTCATCAAACTACAACTCCCAGGATGCCATAGAATTGAGCCACAGCAGTGAAAGAGCTGTCAAACTGCATTAATTCTCCAGTGTAGATGTACCTGGGCTAAAGAGACAAAATAATTGACCCAGCAGAGGGACAGGTTCCTATCTGCAAGGAGGGATAGGAAAGGCTCCTGTTGTTGTTGCCAGTCAGGGCTATATGAACCAGTGTTTTCACCAAGTAGACAGCAGTATACTATTAAACCAGTATACTATTAAACCGGGTTCACTCCCATAAACATGCATACAAGGCAGGGACTCCCTCCCATTTTAAAGTGAGTGAGGAAATATTTATTCTTATCTCATACTCTCCAACTGACCTAATTTGGAAGGAATACCTCTGATTCAATGCCTGTCATCCAGCTTTTTTTTAAAACATCCCAATTTCTTTCTCCTCCCATTTTTCCCTTTGTTCTGAACTTACTTCAATTGCCACAAACTGAGTTCAAAGTCAAAAAGTTGTTTGCTTTCCATTAGAAAAAGGAAAGAGTATAAAGGAGGCAGACTTGCCCTTCCCAGTAAACTAAGCAAAAGCAAACTGAAGCAGCTTTTCCTATCTTCCTTGTTTTCCCTCATTAATAACTTTTGCCATTTTTAATCTGATATTGTCTGGGTATAGGTGCTCTGCTTTTCAATTTGTAGCATATTGCAGGGTGTGCCATGTAAAGTATAAGCCTCCAATCCACAATATTATTTGAACTCAGTGAAGTAATGGACTTCTAAAATGGCCTCCCATTATGTCCAGAGTCTAAAATTACCAGGCTCCGCCACTGATGGATTTGCTTCCGAGCAAAGAGGCATAGCATGGCACTATTGATTTCTAAAAAGCACAGTGTTGCTGCTAATGCATTTCCACAAGGTAGCCACACATTGTGGTCTGGAAGCCCTGGGTTCTATGTGAGTGCGGTTTGTGGTCAGGGTAATAGAGGCTGAACAGATATATATATACCAGCCGTCCCCTGTCACACGTTGCTGTGGCCCAGTCTGTTGATCTGGAAAATAAAGTAATGAGAAAGTGTTGGTTTCTAATATATGTAATTTCTTTATGCTTTTGGGTAAACAGTATTTTTTGCTGTTTGTTAGTGTTGATGTGGAAATTGTCTGGTTTGCCTACTCTGGAACATGTAACATATCATTGTCCTTCTTTAGGGGTCCCTTTCAAATCTATGATACTATCTGTGTGTGTATGTGTGTGTGTGTGTGTGTGTGTGTATCATATGTATCTACATATATCTATGGCTGGATGGCACTTTGTCAGGAGGGCTTTGATTACGTTTTCTTGCCCTGGTGAAGGGAGTTGGACTGGATGGCATTAAGTATGGGGGTTCTGTGTGGGAGGTTTGCCCCAATTCTGTTGTTCGTGAGGTTCAGAATGCTCTTTGATTGTAGGTGAACTATAAATCCCGGTAACTACAACTCTCAAATGTCAAGGTCTATTTCCTCCAAACTCCATCTGTGTTCATATTTGGGCATATGGGGTATTTTTGCCAAGTTTGGTCCAGATCCATCATTGTTTGAGTCCACAGTGGGTGTGGGTGAACTTCAACTCCCAAACTCAAGGTCAATGCCAACCAAACCTTTCTAGTGTTTTCGGTTGGTCATGGGAGTCTTCTGTGCCAAGTTTGGTTCAATTCCGTCATTGGTGGAGTTCAGAATGCTCTTTGATTGTAGGTTAACTATAAATCCCAGCAACTATATCTCCCAAAGGACAAAATCAATTTTTTTATGATGGTTACTCCTTGGGTTGTTAGGCATATTGTGTCCAAATTTGGTGTCAATTCGTCCAGTGGTTTTTGAGTTATGTTAATCCCACAAACGAACATTATATTTTTATTTATATAGATTCAAAAAGGTGACTTCCCACAGTTTAGGATGACTTGGGACAGGTGATCCTAATAAATAGATGAGGCAGTTCATTTAAGCATTAGAAGGTCCATTTATTATTACTGATTTTTTGCGGGGAAAGGGAGAAAGTATCTAGCGATGTATTCATTTGAATGAAAGAATGAAAATATAACTAATCGTTGGGTGTCAACTTGTTGTTTTTGGTCCTGCCACAGATAAAGAAAGGCGCATTTAGAACTTCTCTCTATGACAGTGGTTCTCAAGCTGTGGGTCCCCAGGTGTTTTGGCCTACAACTTCCAGAAATCTCAGCCAGTTTACCGTCTGTTGGGATTTCTGAAAGTTGAAGGCCAAAACATCTGGGGACCACAGGTTGAGAACCACTGCTCTATGATTTGACAACAGGAGTAGGACAAAGACCACCTTTCTCAATACTGTTGGACCAGAGTTCACTCCAGCTACCGCAATTAATGGCTATGAATGCTGGGAATTGCAATCAAAGAACATCAAGAGAGGTGATTCCCAAACTCTAGCCCTTCAGGTGTTTTGGACTTCAACTTCCAGAAGTCTTTGCTTAATGATCAGGGTTTCTGGGAGCTGAAATCCAAAATACCTACAACAGTGTTCCTTAACCTGGAGGTTGGGACCCCTGGGGTGTCAGAGGAGTCATCAAAGACCATCAAAAAACACATTTTCTATTGGTCATGTAGGTTCTGTGTGGGAAGTTTGGCCTAATTCTATCATTGCTGGGGTTCAGAATGCTCTTTGGTTATAGATGAACTATAAATCCCAACAACCACAACTCCCAAATGTCAAGTCTATTTTCCCCAAACTCCACCAGTGTTCACATTTGGGCGTCTTGAGTATTCATGCCAAGTTTAGTCCAGATCCATCATTGTTTGAGTCCACAGTTCAATCTGGATGTAGGTGAACTACAATGCCAAAACTCAAGGTCAACGCCTACCAAGTTGGTTCAATACCATCATTGGTGGAGTTCACAATGGTCTTTGACTGTAGGTTAACGATAAATCCCAGCAACTACAACTCCCAGATGACAAAATCAATGCCCCCCCAACCCCACCAGCATTCAAATTTGGGCGTATTTGGTA